TTTGAAAGGACTTCCATAGGGTCCCATCCAGCTCTGTGGTTCTAAGATGAGGGTGACTTTCAAACCCTACTTCACTGCTTGCAATTCTCTTGCATCTTAGGCAAGGTTTCTTTCTTGCCATACCTTGAGATACCATGGTTTGAATTTGGGACCTTCTGCATACAGAATTCTAAGTTCTTTACATTAGTGGTCCCCAACCTTGGGCCTCCAGATGTTCTTGGACTACAATTCCCAGAAGCCTTCACCACTACCTCTGCTGGCCAGGATTTCAGGGAGTTGTAGTCCAAGAACATCTCAGAAGAGCCGGACACGACTAAACGACTAAACGACGAACGAACGAGATGGGAAACAGGGAGTGACTATTACATTGCTAAAATTATAATGGCATTGTTAACGCCGTTAATGATCAGTTAAATTGCTGATTACAAAGGTATGCTTTGGTCAGTAATTAAATGGCTTTCAAGTAGTAAACTAAGGTTACTGTTCTCTTAAGGAAAATAATGTCTTGTCATAGTGATAGCTAAGGTTATGGATGAATCCATATTAATAGTGATATTATTGCTAACATTGTACTACTGTATAGTATACTAAGAATCCTTGGTCTTTTTAAAAATCTCTTTGATGTACATTGGAATTTTTTGATATTGCCCCACTTCAGCCATCAGTTCAAATCTTCATTTGTTTGCCCCAAAGCCTGCATTTTTATTTTTGCTATTTGTACCTTCCATAGTTTGCAAATCAGCTTGGTTTGTTTTTCTAATTGGCTACCATGATTGCTCAGCTGCAAAGTTTTACCTAGAGCAGGTCTCTCAGACACTAACAGATTTGGAATTCTAACTGTTGCCCAGCTGCAACATAGCGTGTGGGCCTTTGACTCTTTAGGTGGAAGCCGTGAACAACAACAGTGTTCCTGTGCGTGCTCTGTCACTTGTTGCCTTTGTAAGTCTGATGACTTGAAGCCAGATTTCTTCTCTTGTCCGGTCTGGCTTATTAAAACAAAGACCCTATTTTTGCTTTCTTTACTGAAACAAAACTGTGTTCTTATTTTTCTTTAGGCCAGAGGGCCTAAAGAAACTATTTTATTTTATTTTATTTTATTTTATTCTAAAGAAACTTATTTTATTTTATTATAAGCTTACCTTATTCTTTCCCATTAGACCAGATGGTCATTGTACGGGATTAGACATCTTAGGATGCTCTGTCTCAACAGTCTGGTGTGACATTTCCAACGGTTTCAGCAGAGCCCCGCAGAATGTCTCCAGTTCTTGCTAGGGCCTCTGTTTCATCCCACCTGAACAAAATAAGCATTGATAGCTGCCTTCTGGGTCCAGCCACATATAAACAGAAAAGGCTTTTTTAGCTGCTCCAGAGCCTGCTTAGGGGAAAAAACAGGACATGAATGGCAACTTCAAAGCAAATGTAGTTTTCTTGGAATCTCACCTGAGAAGGCATCACAGGGGCACCATCAAGGGAGGCGCTGGGTTCCTGTCTGCCTGAGTTCCAGGGCTCCATATCCTGCCTACCCTGTCCTGGCAGGGAAAACGAGGTGTGGGAGCAAGAAGCTGTGGGCAGAGAAGAGACTGCCAAGACAAAGGCTCTGTTAATCCTGCAACTGGGCTGAGTGCTGGCCCTCTTCTTCGGCCAGCTGCTTGTTTGAAGCCCTGCAAGCTTTTCTGAGACTTCAAATTCTTCAGCAGACAGAGCCTTCGGAGTACAAATCAAATAGAACAAATATCACTAGGAGATGACACGAAATGACAACTAAACACAAATAAACCTTGCAGGGAGAAAAAAAAAGGTTTGGTTTGGAGAGATGAAGCAGTAGGACATGAAAAATATGTATGTACATTAAAAAACACAAGTCTCCAGAAATTGCGGTTGTAGTGCTATAAACTCCACCACTATTTGGGTCTCTAAGACAAAGAGCAGATGGTCTTGACCAATATAGCCAATATATGAATAGACTATGGTAACAGTTCAGAAACTGAATCAGAGAACATTACATTTTATAGCTGAGGAGTCTGAGCAGTGTTCAGAAAGTTGTTGCCCCAGCATAACAAAACGGATTCCATTAATGCTGTACCAGGTTTTGACAAAGTGTAGTTAACTATGATTCTCATACTTAGAGGGTTTTCTCCCTATGTCTTTAGCAGAGGAATAGGTCTCAGGCTGCAACAACATGGAAACTCTTTGGTAATATTGTGCATCCATGTTTTGGCGGAAAGCATTTTGAACTAGCCTTGAGGGCTCTCGTTTTCTTCTTTTTTACTGCCATAATTGTGTAGTACTTGCTCAGATACATTTTCCCAGCATATACCCTGGAAAAATGCACCTTTTGCACAAGGTATCATATCAGTTGCCATAGTGAATGCCATGTGTGACATGGCTATACAAAAGTTGCACAGAAAGTGGTATGGTAGCATAGGTATCTTGGCATCTTACGAGATCTGTCAAGGTCTGTCAACATTAGCAGCAAATTGACAGTACAGCATAACAAACTGACATTCATGATCAGCACAAAATGGTAGAACCCATTATACTCAATACCTTATGGACCTTCTCACAGTGTTATTTTGTGAACTTTTCTATACTGGCCAAATAATCCTTTGCTGCTCATGCAGCCTACCCTGCCTTCCTCCTTTTTAATGGGTGACAAGTCTAATGTCTTCTTTCCTGAAACTGCAAGGCTGTGTGTAAATGCCCTCTTGGAATTCTCCTACCTGATTGTAGGGAGAGAAGGTCCATACCTTATGGACCTTCTCACAGTGTTATTTTGTGAACTTTTCTATACTGGCCAAATAATCCTTTGCTGCTCATGCAGCCTACCCTGCCTTCCTCCTTTTTAATGGGTGACAAGTCTAATGTCTTCTTTCCTGAAACTGCAAGGCTGTGTGTAAATGCCCTCTTGGAATTCTCCTACCTGATTGTAGGGAGAGAAGTTGTAGAGGGAAGTTCATCACAGTTCTCCGAGGGAATTGCTGGAGAACAGGTGGATTTCACAGGAGAAGTAATGATAGAAGGTCCTGACCTACATTTCTTCCCCTTATGCTGTTCTTATTTGTTCATTGGTTTCGGTTCTTGCAGCCAGTGCCAGCAACAGGAGCTACACCTGTAACAAAAACAAAACAAATCATAGCTCTTATGGTGCCTTTAAGACTAATGGATTTATTGTGGTGTGAACTTTAATTAATTATAGTCCTTAAAAAAGATCTAAGATGTCTTACATTACATTACTTACTTACTTACTTACTTACTGACTGTAATATAGTCCTTTAAAAAGATCTAAGGTGTCTTACCTTACTTACTTACTTACTTACTTACTTACTTACTTACTTACTTATTGACTGTACGTAAATACTGCCCATCTAGTGGCAAGCCGCTGCTCTGGCCAGTTTACAATGATTAAAACCCATACACCCATTGTGTACAAATGAAATAACAATAACCAAAATAAAATAACAGTAACAAAAATCCCCCCCTGCCCCAGGCCACAACAGCAAGCAAATTCAAGTCATAGGGGGAGGAAATTCTTGAAGGCCTCCTTAAACCCACTGTTTTAGTCTGTTCCCTGAAGGACAGGAGGGAGGGCTAAAACAGCTTAAAACATTGTGTTACAAAATATTAAAAAAGAATGAGATAGACATTACAGTATATTAAAAATATTAGCTAAAAACATTACTAAGACAGATTTAAAAGCAACACTGTTAACCTCTGATTGGTGCTGTTCATTGCTAGGGACAGAGTCTTATAGACTCTTTTTACATCCATGAACATAACAAGTGAATCATAACCCTCATGGGAATCCCAAGCAGTGAATTCTCCTCCTGCGTGTGGCCTTTGGCACATCCCTTTTATGCCTCTTCCTCCTCTTCTTCACTTCCCCTTTCTCTCTAGACTAGCCCACCTGAGTATTGGTGACCTCCGTTTAATCTGTTTGAGACTTTATTTGCACCAAAGCAAGTACAGTTCAGTGAATCTGGCACCTAGCCATAGGACAAAAGTTCTGGTGGGGGCTGCACGCCATAACACCTGTGTGACCTGAGACAAGCTGCATGACCCAGGAGTGCCACCAGGCAGAAGAACAGCGATGTGATTTCTGAGCACTTTAAAAATGTAAGAAGGTGACCATAAGTTGCAATTGAATTGATGGCACATAATTATTAATTATATATTTATACAGAAAGCTTACATTAAAGCATGCAAACATCACAGTACATATTTTTTTTCCTTAGACATTTTGCCAGAAATACATATTATTTTTGAATATGGTGTGAACTTTTTTTTTTTTAAGGCAGACTTATAAACACTTGTGAACAGCCATCAGAAACCAACTGTAGGGATGGCCGGAGAGAAGCTTGAGATTTGACAGTCTTGTCTTTCTCTGAATTTCCCAGACTATATGAGAGTGAAGTGCAGTTCATCTCCCCCAGTCTTCCGCTGTTTCCCAGTCCCCCGGGGAGGTTTCTCCATCCAATCTTTCATCTCATCCTGGGCTTTGAGCACAAAATGAAGAGTCTGTTCCACAGTCAGACATTCAGTTGGAGAGCCGGTTGTTTCACATCCCTCGGCGATGAGGGGAGAGGAGGGTGGCTCACCCATAGGAAGATTGTCAGTCTTGCTACCCTTCTCACACAGATTCTATATATAGAATCATTCTTGTATGTACCTAAGTGTAGCGAGTCATGCGAGCAAGTAATTGTCAATAGAACAAAAAGACAAAAACATGGGCGCAAATGAGGGAAACTTTAAAGGGATAATGATCTGAATGAACCACTAGGTGCTGCTGGAGATTACAAATTTGGAACTATAAGACCACAGAAGAGCTCCTAAGACTATCCAGCAGACTGGCAGTGCTTTCTCTTCTTTCTCTCTGTCCTGTTGCTGTGTATTTACCTGCAGGTGGAACATTTCTGAAAGAGATAGGAAACCTCAGTTAGTTTTTCAGCATACTGTCAGTTTTGATGATCAAATTACTAACTAGGTTTTGGTCTTTGTTCCAGCGGAATACCCTCAAGGACCTCTCCCAACATTGTGGAATGATCCTGCAGAGCTGCCATCAGGTGGAGGGCCCTTAGAAACCACCACCCCCCGCTTCTCAGATTCTCCAGGTTTCCAACCTTACACTTCTGATTATGAACAAGAGGACACAACCCAGCACCAGCAGCTGGATAATGGAAATGGTAGACATTCTTGCCTATTGTGCTGAGCTACACTACTTTATCCTTTGTGGTGGAGCCACAAACATTTACTGCATTGGGATGGTTTTTTCACCATCCTGGCAATTCCTTGTATGAGGAAGGGAGGGAACATTTTCTTCTTGTGGGCTTCTTCCCCTCCAGAGAAAGTGACTGGGAGGCAAATTCCAAAGTGGGTGGGGCCAGACAGTCCTAAAGGCTATAAGGGTTTCTCAAGTTTTCAACAACAAGGAATTCCCCTCTAAGCCAGGGGATCCAACTATGGATGATTGGGATTGTCTCCAGGTCTTGCTATCTCTGTTCCTGTTCCCATTATGCCCATATTATTGCATCATGGAATATGCAGTAATAAGGGAGAGGAAGACTTAGATCTAGGAAACTGGAACACAGATCCCTGGTGTAGCTGAACTAGCCTCAGTTTCTTTATCTGGAGGGAAAGAAATTATGAAAGAACTATCTATGGAGTATAATTTAGTATAATTTCAGAAATGACCAAGAGGGTTTCTGGAATGCAGGAACTTTGTATGAACAATAAAATCTATTCCTTCATCATGGGGCTGAAGAGAAATGGGAGAGAATGGGAGAGATGTTTAGAACTGGAAATTCTGTTTGTAAGATGGACATTTGTCAATTTCTTTGTGGTGGCAGATAAAGGCTGCGCTCAGATGTAATGCTGTTATAACTTATTGTTATGAGTCTGAGCAAGGCTCAAATACCCTCCACCTCTGATGAATCTATAGGGAAATTGGAAGCTTACACTTAAAATTTCAACTATCCACAGCTACTGTACTCACTAAGTCAAATTGCAATTATTGTTAATTATGGATTAGAAAAACAAGCCATGAATATCAGCCATAGAATAAGAACTGGCTTATTTTTACAAGCACAGCCTTTGTCTATGTGGGCTCATTTGGGGTGGGCTGATACAGGCTAAATAGGATCACTTGGGGTCCGAGATGCCATTTACATCCAAATGGCATATAGACCTTAATGAATCCTAATTAGTCCAGCTCCTTTAAGAAGGCTTATTAATCATGAACCATATTTGAATTTCAGGAGCCAGGAGATGAGTAGGGCTACTATGACTTGAGAGATTACTCCCCCCCCCACTGAAAAAAACATCCTTGAAATCTAGAGAGAACAAAACCTACACTGCTTTGCCAGAGGCCTGCCTGAGATTTCTGGTACAGACTGGGCGATATTGATCATAATGTTTGCAACCAATAGTACATTTCTTTACCCTGAAAATATTCCTTGTGCTTCCTTAAGCTATTTCCCTCATTAATATCAGTGCTGCATAACGGTCTGGCATGTTCTGACTCAGCAAAATATTGTAAGTTATGTGTGATGTTAGCTAGCATGGGGTATGTGTGTGGAGAGAAGAGCCAGGGCTCCTTATCCCCATGCGTTGACCTGGATTACCCTATCTGCTAAATATAGTTGTCAACTACTGGCTTAAAGAGTATGACAGAAGGGTTTTACGCACAGTGTTGCTTAAGTTCCTCTGGTACAATTCAGTGATTATTATCCTCCTGGAATTGCAGTTTTGAGCTAAAAGTATATGCTGGAATGTGTAATCCAGTCACGCATGCAGATTTTTCCAGCCTGTTACTGCCTGTGGGCCCCCATGCTTCCCTCTCAGTCTCTTGCAGAGAACAGTCTAAGGAGTTTTTGAGGGTTCACAGTTGGACCATTACTCCCCACCTTCAGTTGTTGGAAGTGTTTCAGGAACATTTCATTGGAGAAAACTCTTGAGTGTGTACCTTTTTGCATACATTTTCCATCAGCCTTTTCTTGTTCCCCTGAGTCAATCTCTCTCTCTTTTTTATGTCCTTGTCAATTGCAGGGTCTCTGGGTCCTGGAGCCATTGGTGCCATAGTGATCGCCGCTCTTCTGGGCATATCTGTGATTGTGGCCTTGATGGTCATCACTCTGAGAAAGTTTTCTGCTTCCTGAGATCAATTAAAAAACCTATTTTTTTCCTAATATCACTTTGTTCAAGCTCCCTCCTTTTTTGTGCTTGTGTTTTCTATGTGTACAATAAGGGGGGGAAATAGTTCATAAGGTCCTTTGTATCTCTGTATTTGTCAAACAGGATACAGGACAACCTGCCCTCTGAACCAACTGGTATCAGGACACTTTGCTTACTACCTTTTCTGATCCAAAGATTATATAGTGGTTAACCATTATACAGATAAGTTTTGGGAAAGGATGTGTACTCCAGATCAAGAAGATGCTCCAAGTATCAGCCTCTAGACAAAGATAATTGGGTCAGCATTCAAATGTGATCAAAGTGCCCATGGTACTCCAAATAACTTTTAATGTCATTGTAGAATTATAGAAGAATAGAGCTGAAAGGAGCCTATATGGTCATACAATCCAGCCCCCTGCTCAATGCATGCTCTCAAATGCTCACATCCAAACTTAAAATAAAATGCTTGGTTGCTACAACTTTGTAGCTTTATAGTGCTTGCTACAAAATTAATTTTTAAGTTTTCATAACTTTAGTAGCTAGTGGTAGAAGAGTGTGATATTTTTTGTTTTCGGCAAGCTCAGTTTTATATTCTATCCTGTTTTAACTAAACAAACCTTACTTTTGTCTCTATATTAAACACCATGTTTCCCCTGACATGTTTACAAAATTGGTAAGTGAAATTAGAACATCATTCTGCTTTGTAATATGTGAGCCAGACATCCCTATTTACCTGGCTATAAATAAGCTGCAGGGGTGGTGCTGGTGATAGTGATGTTAGTACCTGCTTGGCTTTAAATGCCAGTGTGAAACTCGATTAACCTTTCTCAAATGACGTATTTCATTACAGCACCTGAACTGAAAAGTGTATTGACTCAGCTAGATCAGCCCTTCATCTATAACAAATCATCATCATCATACTTGCATCCTGTACAGTCAATTCCTAGTTATGTTGACCCTTTCCAGGGTTTTCTAGGTAGAAAGTATCCAGAGATGTTTTACCATTCCCTGTGGCTGGGAGTGCCTGGGACTGTGCAGCTTGCCCAAGACTACACAGACTGGCTCTACTCTCAGGAAGCAACAGTGAGGAATTGAACTCCCAAAGAGATACCTTACTTACTGAGCCACCTTGCCAACTACCGTGTTTCCCCCAAAATAAGTCAGGGTCTTATATTAATTTTTGCTCCAAAAATGCATTAGGGCTTATTTTCAGGGGATGTTTTATTTTTTTCATGTACAACAATCTACATTTATTCAAATACAGTAACGTCATATTCTGGTTGAGGCACAGTGGTGGAGGGCAGGGTTTCACTTAACAGGGGCTTATTTTTGGGGTAGGGCTTGTATTACGAGCATCCTGAAATATTCATTCTAGGGCTTATTTTCAGGTTAGGGCTTATTTTCGGGGAAACACGGTATCATAGACAGCAGTTGAAAGGCAGAGCAACATTGGTATGGACCAAATGCAAACACTTAAATTCCACTTAGCTGTAGGACTTCCTTCAAGCTCGCACGTAGGTGGCTTCTTAATCCTATCTGTCTTTATAATCTAAACAAATGGGTACCAAGAAAAGGGGGAAGCCCATCTTTGAAACATATGTGAGATATTATCAAAGTAGGTCTGGGGATTATATTGAGCCCGCTACACAAGGTCATACTGAATTGTCCAGTGTCAGTGCTTCTTTCAGTGCAGGACGAGGAGCAAAAATGCTTTCTCCACAAGGATGTTCTTTGCCTCTTTACAGCAGCTAGACTGAAGATAGCTAAACACTGGAAATCTAATATAGTATTAATCTACAAGGAAACGAGTTTTGCCATTGTATAAAATGTGCACTCATCAAACCAACAGTGCAAATAAGCCAGACTTTTTTTAAAAAAATGCTTTCCCTTAATCCCTTACATCAGCAAAGGAGATGTGTTCTCTTTCCTCTCATTTATCCTTCTGGAAAGATATGTTTGCCCAATTTAGACTAGTAACTATGTTGTAATGTTTATAAATCTGTTGGGCTATGACTTTATTAATATTTTTATGCTCTTATTCACATTCTTTTTAAAAATGTGTTGCAAAACATGTACTTGTTCTTCCATAAAAACAGTAATATTAAATAAGGTGCCATCAATGTACAAATCTGAATGTGAGATACATATGAACAAAACTTGATCAGCTCCCATGTGAGGCTTGCAAATCAATGGGTTGTATATTAAAATACTACCCACACTGCATTGGTAGCTGAAGACTAGTCCCCGGGTAAATAAAATGAAATGGTGCCAGACTTTGAAAGTACTTGTAAGAAACAAATTCTTTCTCCATCCTTTCATGCAGGCATGCTCCTAGTGATTCAGTATGCCTAACACCTTCCTGACTGTCTACAGATACATGAAATCATGTAACACAGGTTGCCATGACTCTGAAAAGTGCTAACTAGTATATTTTGTAATGTTTGTGTCAACCTGACACTTGCACATTTCGTAACCAATTGTTAGTACTGGTTAAGATTTGGTTTCCTCCCCATTCATGGTATGTAACTCACTACTGTGCAACTTAATATGCTACTTTCTCAAGAAAATGTATGTACATTAAAAAAATCTCAGGTTTTGGTTGTAGTCCATGGCTAAGCAATGCTTTTCACAACAGTATAAGGCTGATTTGGTCAGAATCTTGATTGCTTGACTATCAGTTTAAAGACTTGGCTTTAAATTAAGTTGTTCGCAAGCAGTTCTGAATGAGGTCATGATCATGCAGTGTCTTTCTGCAAATGACTGAATGGGAACTATTTACACATTACAAGATATGCCACTTAAAAAGAACAAATATTTTCTCCAGAATTAACAGTTTAAAAAAATGATGTGTAAACTCTGGGTTGTGTTCTTCTGGCAGTAAAACTGGAATCAGGAGCTAAAATTCTCAGTCCCACAATCTCTTATTAATCTCCCACATCTGCTCCAGATGGCTGGGAGACATAGTGCAGCAGATCTCAGGGATGCACATGATGAACAAGGAAGAGGAGTTCCCATTATGCAAGAGAACGGAATTCAGCCCAGTGTCTATGGCTCTTATATGCAGACTAAAATTTTATTTTTATTTATTTTAAATAAAAAGCACTAGTTCTTCTGTCCTTTCTACCATTTTACCCGTTTAGTCATGTCCGACTCCTCGTGACCCCATGGACCAGAGCACACCAGGCCCTCCTATCTTCCACCGCCTCCCGGAGTTGTGTCAAATTCATGTTGGTTCCTTCGATGACACTGTCCAACCATTTCATCCTCGGTCGTCCCCTTCTCCTCTTGCCTTCACACTTTCCCAACATCAAAGTCTTTTCCAAGGAGTTTTCTCTTCTCATGAGATGGCCAAAGTATTGGAGCCTCAGCTTCAGGATCTGTCCTTCCAGTGACCATTTTACTAAGCTGCTTTTATTCATTTGGTGAAAAGGGTTGATTGTTCACCTGTTGTTGTTTTTATTTTGGACAAAAAAGCATAGGATTTTATTTTCATTTTTAAACTAATATAATGGTGCATTTATTTCACTAGCTAGTTATACAAGCTTCTTTGGGCCTGACTGAATAAAAGACATCCTAAAAAGATGTGGGGGAAGACAAAGAAGCAGGTGCCTGAATCCAAAGACTCTGCATACTCACAGAAAGGCTCTCTTTTAAGTCTTGGTCTCTTGCTAGGGAAGTCCAGTCTGCCACCAATCACAACAGACAGCCCAACAACTGACTTGGTGGCACAGAGCAGCTTCATCTATTCATCATCAAAACCCTGGGAACTATCTTGGGAAAGTCTGATCTGAAGTAATCACAAACCCTTTGTTTCCTCGTGACTTGTTGAAGGAGTCTTCTAATAAAATCATTTTGGAGTGTTGTAGTTAAATAAACAATTGCAGTTATTTATATAACATTTTAATATACAAAGTGCTTTACAAGCTTTTAATTTGTTGATCTCAGTTTCATATTTGATTCTGTGAGTCCATAGACAAATGCTGTGTTCATCTTCTTCCTTCCCAAAGCATATTGTTGCTGGCTCGAAGTTTTGCATTAAAAGGGGATATTTTCCTCCTTTTTTTTGTCCTTTTATCTTTTTGAGGCTTTCCTATATACATCAGGTTGAAAGCATTATACACAAACTGTCCACAAGTTCACCATAGTACAACTTTTGCAGACAACATTTAATATAAAAGTGTGCCACCTTTTTTCTAAAGTCATCCTTTTTGTACTTAGCATGAACATTGGACCATTATCTGGTATAATCATCCTTACATTCAGAACTCTCTGAATCTGACAGATATATTATTTAAAATACTTTTTTCAGAGTCCGTGTATATATATATAAAGGAAAAGCAATAAATTACACAGAGCCTTGGCTGGCCTGTCTGCAACGGAATTCTCTAGCTCCCCAGAGGCAGCGTCTCCACAGAATGTCATGAATGCCCTTTACTGGCTACAACATTTGTCTTTGTTTTTGTTTTTCCCCTTCTTTATAACAGATGAACAATGTGGGGAAAAGTGCAAAAAAAAACCCAACCAGTGAAACCTGTGTGAGGGATTTGTGTTTATTCTGTACAATTCAGTGCAGCATTCATTTAGGTCAAAAGAAATTTCAACTGTGCAGTGCCCATCAACTCTGCCATACTTACAAGGTTGATGGGAATCACTGGTAGGTGTCTAGGATAACTTTGTTTGATACTTAAATGCAGGGAGTGGTTGCTTATAGCACAGAGGGATGTTCCTGCTGGACAGGATGCTCTGGGACTGGACTGTGATACAGGCCCAATAAATTAGTACAGTGAAGATAGTACTTTGAAAAAAATAGGCTAGGCAAAGGACAGCAAAATTTCACAATACAGGGATTGTAGTCTGATCCTACATTTCCGTTAGAGTGATTAATTCCATCTTGTTTTTAAAAAGTATATCTACCACACTTCAGTATAACCTTCTCTCAATCACACATTCGTTTCTTGCTGGTTAGGCCAAGACTACTGGTGAATGACTACTATGAACTATTTTGAACCAGATATTGGCACTTATTATTTACAGGAATTTCTTTGCCGATTCTTCTGCTATATCTGAACATAAAAGGCCTTGTCAGTACAGGTGATCTTTTTTTAAAAAAAAAAGCTTCCTGAGTGTAGAGGCAAGTAGACAGACAACTGACAGTGGAGAGCTTGAAAGATACAGTGCTCCTAGATTTCCTTTTTGCCACTAGCAAAACAAATGCTGCACCTCATTGTACCATCAGATGGAATGCTACAATATTCAGCTGCTAGTTTCCTGGGTCTTGAGAGATTTTCCCCCCACTTCTTCCACGTTCACTATTTCCTCACCATGCAGGATTAACAGATACTACACTCTTTGGAATTTACAGTACACTAGGAAATATATTTAGGTTCATAGTCACCTCTCCATTTTTTTCCTAACTCTGTCTTAAGAGATATAACCCATACAGTGCCAAGTATCCAGTGAAGCCCACTAGGTCAGGGGTGAGAAGACTTGCTTGTCAAAAGCTGTTTTCCATGCCACCATCTGAGTGTTGAATCCCTTTGTCTCAGACCCAGCCATAAATTGCTTCTGATGAAGAATGAGTAACTGTGTGCAATGATCATTGTCTGTTCCTGCTGCCCATCTTCCGTCGCTGGCTGTCATCTGACTTGTGTACCCGGAAACACTCCTTTAAGTTCTGAGATCGAATTTTGGGGTTCATAATCTCTTCAACCATTGAGGTGGGGAACCAGCCTCTTTCTTGATCATGCAAACGCTCCCCAAAGATCCATCCTGGATTTTTAAAAAAAGGGGGAAAGGATGGTGAGGGGTGCAGGCAACACACAGCAGTACAGCTCAATAAATCCACAACACACAAAAAGTTCAAAACTGTACAAGAGGCAATTCAAAAGCAGGAAAATAAATGTTTTTTTTAAAAAAAAATCATGGATCATATCAGAATGTATTAATGGAAGCTGGTTATATAATCTTTAAGTCCAAAGCAGATGTTACAACTCAGGGAGGCTTATTGGAAATTCAGCTTTATGGGGATTGTAATGCTTTGACATTAATTTGTTTGAAAACATAATATGAAGAATATAAAGAATTATATACTGATTCACATTTATTTGTTTGGGCTATTCCAATTTATAAGCAACATCTCACTACTTTAGAGATATTAGATTATGCTACAATAATCTTTAACTCTACAGGCTAAGTGTTATCCAGTTGCCCTGTTGCAATGGCTGGACCCTATGTGTCTGCACAAAAGACATTGTTCAGCTGACCCATGGATAGAAGGCTACAGACAGGTTTGTTCTTACCATCATCTGTCTTTTCCAGAATGTTCAGTACATCAGCCAGTTCTAGTGAGAGCTCATCCGGCTGTTGAGCCACATATGGATGGACACATTGTACTTGAGGGCAATCTGCCAACAGGAAAGAGGAAGTTAACACAGCTTGCCAGCTCTTAAATCCAGACTAGGACATAGAAGCTGAGCAGGTGTCTGAAGCAGAGATGGTAATGGGAAAAGTTAAGAAGATTTAAAATGTTATTACTATGGAAATAGTTACTGCTATAGAGTATGGTAGTGACCAAGCCTATAAATATTCTGAACTGTACCTGAACTCTTTAAAGATGTAGCTAATAAGGAGAAAGCTAGAAAGTAGTATGTTTGTGTGCATGCAGGTATGTGCGCGCACACATATACAAAAAAACACAGAGAAGAAAAAATAGTCTAATCAGGCTGTGCCACTGAAGTAAAGGGTTCAATGAAGTGCTTTGGAGGCCATGGAATAGTTTCATCCACTGAGTGTTCTCTTTTTCTCTGTACAATGCTCAGGGAATGCATGCACTCTCTCAGATGAACCCCTTGCACTTGTAATACAAAAGAATGGTACATGAATCACAATGGATGGGGATGCTGGGGGAGCAAACAAATACTGTATGGAAGAATGAAGTTGTGCAAAAATTGGAAAGCCTTCAGACAAGGCTTCAAAAGAACTGGAAATCAACTCAACAGGGCAAGACAAAAGAAGGGCAGATGATCTACTTGAGACTAACTAGCCTGACAACTTTGCATAGTTATGCTTAAGGGTACCACTAATAAAAAATTAACCTCATAGTTTCAAATTATGTTTGTTCATTCAGTAGTTTATGATCTATTCTTGTTACCTGGAACCCACTATAACTAGAACTCAGGAAACAACAATCAGTGGCATGAAGTTTGGACCTATCCAGTTGTCCATCAGCCCTCCTGTTTCCTTTTTTCTTCTTACCCATGAGTCTGGATGTAAAGGAAACAAACTTGGTTCGCCGATTTGGAGCAAGCAAAATCATCCAGCGCTTCATTTCACTTCTGGGTAAAGCAGGGGTATAAGGAGAAGAGAATACAGCAATTAGTTTTCCATGCAGATTTGAATAGAACAATAGAACCAATGCCGCTTGCCCATCTTTCTTTGGTTGATTCCCTATAACTCCTTTCTGTTACAGTAGGACATATAGATCAATGCATTCTAGTACTGCTCTTTTCTGATCTCATTATGCTTATATTTGAGCATTTTCCTTGCTTTGTGCTAAGACGTTGCTTTCTCTCTACTCCTTGTTAATGGAGTGCCCTTCTGCACCTGCAAACAGGTGAAATCCATGTGCTCTCTCCCTTTCTGTCAGCCAAGCCTGTAAAGTGTCACTTGTCAGCAAGACGTTTGTGAGACCTGACTCATCTGCTCCCACTCACTGATTAAAATGTCACGAACAAGGTAAGACAACGTGTCTTATGAAATACCCTGAAAGTCTATGAAATACCCTGCGGGGGGGGGGGAACTGGCCATGTTTAGAAACTCATCATGTGAAAGATAGATACAATCTACCTTCATATTCCTCTTATTTTCCTCCTATCTTACGTGTGATATTTCTGGGGGTTAAAAAACATCCTTGTAAGAGCCATTCCCTTCCTTAGAGGTAATGCAAGAGATCCATAACAGTTAGTGTGAAAATAAGAAGAATGGGAGTCAGTGAGGAAGGAGACCAGTTTGACTCTCTCCAAGTTGTTTATTTGCATGTCAACAAACCATGGTATAGGATTGGCTTCACTGATTGAAGGGTTTCTAAGCCAAGAACACTGCTGTAGTCAAAAGTTATCTCATCTTGTTTTGATTCTGATGTCATCTGTTCTTTGAACACCTAGGAATGAGGTCACTCGAGCACCAAACAGTGGGAACAAGCTTTGGACCACTCCCCACCTGAACAGCTTCCTGAAACCATTATGTGACTGAATAGCTATTGTTGCAGCACTCTGACAAAAAATTGTCTTTCACTGTCTATGGGAGGCAAATATTTGAACACACTGACCAGAATCCTGTTGGTGAAGAATAAGGGAAATTGCATTAAGTTGTAGCTGCTCATAAAATGATGCTGTTTGTACTTCTGGGGACATGTTCCATCATACAATCAGTCACACACCCCAGAATTTAAACAACATATTGTTAATGAGCAGTAACTTGTTGTCACAACTTAAAATTATTTCTCTTACATAATTGTACATCACTATCAGGTTTCTAGTCATATAGGATGTCAATAAGGATAGCATACCTATACTTATTGTCAAATGAGAAGGAACGTCTCTCAGAAGAGAGTTCTCAGTCAAGTTATGCGGTATTTAGGCAAATCTCAAAATGATCCCTCTGAATGCATACACATGGAAAAATAGTACATGAATGAGCCACATCTAAGCCACTTGCTCACAGATTAACCCAGGAGCCATAATGGCCTAGAATATAATACAAGCATCTCCTACTAAAATGTTCCTATTTCTATATTTCTTCAAAATGAAAAAACTCTGACCCATAAAAGGCATGTGCACATGGCCTGCAGGCTATATATGCCTCCCATTCCTGAGTTTGATTGTACATACTGGGACAATGCCTTTAACATGTAGCTGACTTCCCGATCATCAGCATTTTCCAGCAGCCTCAGGATGAACACATTGGCTAAGCTCTGTCCTTGATCCTCCAGTTCCTCCACCCGGAGAAGTCCCCGGGGAGCAGAGTCAAACACCTGGTACTTGTCACTAAGAGAGAAAACAATGATGTCAGAATTTGTCATAGACTGAGGGGTAAACAATATTTGAAAGATGGAACAGAGAAGCAACCAGTATATGCTTCTTGTTGGTAATATTTTGTGACTTGGGTAAGACTAAATGCTTTAATTTGTTTCTGGGTGTAGGAAAATCCTCACAATCTCTTCTCCATCATAAAGAACTCACAAGAAGACATGATCGCCACCTGCATTAAGTGCTGTTTTGATTTCTTGCCAGTATTTCAAGAGATGATTGGTGATCATACTGTGTAGGTTTGCACTGGAAAGGATTGCTTTGCGGAATGTGATCTTTATAGCAATCCTTACAAATTCAATCTGGTACTGATTGCTTTATCCCAGCCCTGCCACTGGACCAAAGAGTCCAGACTGGACATGGAGCAGGGTCAGGCTGGTTCACAATCTCTTGTATGTTGTCTGGTTGCCAGCAAACGCATTGATTCAGAGCACACTGTAGGTGCTCCAAAAGGCAAGCTAATTAAGCATCTGATTGTGCTCTGTGTTTGCATTATAGATAGCACTTAGGAAACCATATTGTGGGAACCTAAAGTGATTAGTAGAGGAAAGTTTACTTCCTTATCCCCCCCCCCAATTCTATTTGGTGCAAATCTCCAACTCCTTTTGAGATCCTTTCTTAACCTGGAATCTCCCATAAACACTGCCAATTTAACAAGGGGGAGTGTGAATTTCTGTTTTAAAAACCCAGAGTTTTATGGTACAAGAAAAGCAGTTATGTGTACCGTTGTAGAGAGAGCTATACATCTTCATCCAGAGCCTTTGCCTACAGCTTGTTTGTAACACTGACAATCAGAAACTATCCCAGCCAGAACTGCTAAGAGCTATCACATGATGAAATACTGCATGCATTCTACGATCTAGCAGCTTGAATGATGGCCCTCTTGTTTCCAACTCACCCAGTGATTTGTCTGCAGAGCACTAGCAAATCATTGAAGAGAAACAAGTAGACTTCTCTGAACAGTTTCTTTGTACGAAGGGTACGTGATGTTTTAGGACCATTCATCTGCTGGAGTTCTCCCTGTTTCAGCAGCCAACGGGAGTGGGAGATGATGGGCACAGACTAATGAAGGAAACAAAACTATGTTCAAGAAGGCTGCAACTTACATCAGTCAAACTCAATATTTGCTAAGAAGGGCCCATGGCCTTTCTAAAGTTTATGCAGCCCCTGTATCAAGTGCCACATGTTAAAATCCAAAAGAAAGAATAAATTTTAAAACAAAGAGTACTAGAACTGGTAGGTATTAAGTGCCTAAAATGTACTAGGTGCCACACAAAAAATAGACTCTATAGAATTATAAAACAGGATTGTACTGTTGTGGTGAAAAATACTTTGCAAGAAGGGGAAAAAAGAGCATGGGGTGTGTGTGAAAAAAAGCAATTAAATAGTCAACAGGAGGCTTTGAAATAGATTTTAGGGGATTTCTTAAGGCCTGGAGGAAATCTAATCAGCCAGATAGGTGCTGCATTCCAGACATGGCAAATATTCAACAACCTTATATACTGAAGAGAGTAACATGCTGCCTAAAGTGTCTGTGATCAAAATATTCCTCTGAAAGTCAGTAACACAGTTATTCTATCTATACAACTACTGTACATCCTAAAGTTAATCTGTTATTAAACACCCTTAGCTAGTTGAAACCAGTGATTCTTATTGTAATAAAAGGTAGGCTCTTTCCCAAGCAAGCAGACAGCCTAGAGTACTGAGAGAAAGATAAGAAAATAATATAAACCTTTAGAAAGGGTAAGGGGACTAGATAATCAACATCAATTAGTAACAAAGTGGGTAAAAATGATATAGCAACTGATGAAAACAGGGCAAAAAACTGGAAATGTGATCATATTTTCAAGATGAAGAAGATTAGCAGTCACAAAAAAGGAACTAAAGGGTCTAAGATGGAATATATCTAAAACCAAGAAGTCAGAATGAAAGAATGAACTCAGGAATCTGAAGGAATATAACAAACAGCATCTTGAATATTCCTCCATGAGTGACAGCAGGTTCCCTTCCCCCATCTTCCTGTGGATCCCCTACTCAGCACTCAGCACTTGCTCCTCTACTCCTCCTTTTCAGATGTTTGATCGGTCTCCAGCAGGAGCACAGGCTTCCCTGCCCCACCTCCTTGGCTGACTACTCACTCAGACAAGGAGGCAAAGCCATGCTCCTGTTGGGGACTGGTCAAACAGCCGAAGAAGACCCACTCCGTCTCGTGAGTGGATCGTTGGCCAGGGAGGCAGGGAAGGGAACACGTGGCAGCTGTGGTGCTGTGCATGTGAACTGGCACGGACCTCTGAACTGAGGTTCATGCCCATCTCTAATGGAGAGACATCATTAATAGAATACAAATCACAAAAGAAAGGAGAGTAGAGGGAGGTGAGGAAATGCTCCTAGAGCCAAGGGAAAACATATAGATTGTTAGATAATATTTAAACTTTAGCCGCTGAGCAAAAGTGGTATAACTGGAGAATAAACCAATATAGAGAAAATGATGGGAATGACAGTGATTAATGATAAGAGATACAAGAACAGACAGTAATACAGAATTGAATGGATACAGCAACTCCACTAAAAACATGATAGGAACAGCAGATAGAAGAGAGGAATCAAGGGAACCAGAACAACAAAGAGGGCTTCAAGGCCTGAATGTCTTGGACAACATAAATGCAAAAAGCAAAGTAAGACTCTGAGAGATCTTCTGAACAAATTATTGCACAAGGTTTTGCTTCCTTTTTAAATAGTTGGTGACAGAGCTTTGCTATTGTTCACTTGATCTGCATCCAAATGCCAACTACCTGTGCAAGCATCCATTCTCAGTATGTTGCCGCACACAATTTCTACACATGCAGCTTTTGCCTCAATAGCTTTCCCTCTGTAATGGTTGCAATCTCCCTGTCTCCTCTTTTTTCTGCCTGAGCCCTATCCTGTTCCTCTCCCTGTCTCCCGTTTTTCTGAAGGCCACACTCAACAATTAGTTACAACGAACAATCTGATGTACACTAGAAGAAAAAAAAGGAACAAAATTTAAGCAGTTAAACCCCTATCCCCAACCCATTTTGAGGGACAAAATGTACAGGAATTCCTTAAAAGCAATTTAAGAGAAATATGTGTTTAAACATTGAGGGGATGGTCCGGGGTTCCCAGGGGTGCTGGGCAGACTTCAAAGCATGGTGAAATTACCCCCATGTGTCCTAGGAACAGACATTGCTGCAGGCAAGTTCCCTGAAGGTATTAGGAGTCAGCGTTAAGAGAGCAGGGCTATGGAAGACACTTTAGAATGCCCAGAAAGGATCATTTGTTGTTCCCACAAACTGTGATTCATTGTATCACCAAAAATTATAAACAATCTAAAGATATTGTGCAACTATTCCACCTTTAACTCCTTTGCAAAATGAGGAAAGAGAAAAAAGGAAAAAATCAGTGGAAAAACCTAAAAGAGTTACAATAACATTTGTATGGCCTCCTTGTAAAATTCCATGCTTGAAGCAGGGTGTTTGCATATTAAAAGCATCATCTGGGAACACTTTCAGACACTGGAAAAATACACTCTGGCAGATGTACAACATCTGGGCCCTTAGAAGCTCCCAAGTAGCATAGTTAATGAACACTGGAGTAAAGGCTAAATTAGATGTAATTATGGTCAAAGTGGTACTAAATTTAATTCAGGATGTCACATAGTGGCAGATGTCTATTCCTTTTCAGGATTTGCCAGTTGGCAACTTATACCTTGATCTTAAATTCCAGCTTCTTCTGGATGCTGATCATCTGCTCTGTACGGCTCATCTTCCTAACACCTTCATTACAAGCCTTTACCACCTAAAAGAGAAGGTGAAATGAGAATATTTTAGAAACAAAATTCTTTGGCTCAGGTTCTGATTTGAAGCAAATATCCCATCATGGCATAAATCAAGCCTTTATGCCCTGCTGTTTGGGAAGAAATGGGGTGGGGGGGGGGGGGGTAAACTATCAGGAGGAATGCAGATGCTGGGGTGGGGTGGAAGAGTTTATGCTGGCAATCCTTCTTTGTCCAGTCCTGCTTCATGTCCAAATTGTATACAGTACCATGAAAAATGACACAGTTAGCACTTTGGGGAAGGCTCCCCAGAGTTTAATAACTTGTTGAAGAAGCTGTGCATGTTGTCCATAGTTTCCGTTTGACTTACAGATATATTTAAGACCACTTTAAATACCAAGAAAAAAGTGTTATAAAAGTGTTTTTCAGGGATTGGGAATGAGTGGCTGCACCCTCATTGACCTGGGGAGGGGCTTCCTAACTTTTCAGATAGGGGATGCAGAAACAGCAACATAAGGTATTCCTAACACACAGCGTAATGTGTCACATGTCACAGTTTAGCAGTGGTAACAACAACAAGTTTCCAGGGTGGGATAACTAGGAATGAGTAAAGGAATGAATTACCTTTTTAAAAGTAATATTTCAACCTCTGTCCCCGCTAATGGACAAATACTTAGTGTGGTCCACTGCATGAAGAGTAATGCAATTAAAAGATACAGCATGTGTTCTTAATCTCTGTGTGCTGCTACGCCAGTTATATTTTATAGTAATTAGTGTACTGCATTGTAGAAAAAGCAGATGCTCCCACCCTTGTTTACCATCCAGCATGCATACCCTGTCTTAACTGCTTTGTATATCTCCATGTGAATGCTACATCTGATTAGAATCTACAGGAAAAAAATCATATTGCAAAAATGATTATCAGATTCTGCTCCCCCCCGACCGCAATTGTGCAGTTTTACTCTATGCATTTATACACAGAGAGACAACAGAGGGTGGCCTGTGCTACTGCACTGTGAGAACAGAGAGAGCAAATATGTGAATCCTTCTCTTCATGTGATAAGCTGATTCAGCTTATTGTTAAAGGCATATTTAGCCATGTCCAAAAATATATAATTGGACAAGGAGAGTACACACAGCAGCCTCCTAGAAGGGAAATCCACACAAAAGGACACTGCCTGGCCTACACAGTTTTGGGTCAAAATAATAACTCTGCACTCGTGGATGAAACCTGACCTACTAACAGTCAGCTTCTAGAGGCAGCTAATTAAATGATTGCTCTCTGTGGATTCTATCACCTTCAAGAGTCTAACAAAAGCTTTTGCGCTTTGAAGTCTGAAGGAACTTTTTCTTCAGGAACACTTTTGTCCAAAAGCCTTCATAACAGTCAAAAAGGAATATATTGTGAAATGTGTGAAACAATCAGCAGTGCCTGTTCCATAGTTTCCTATTAAAAGAATAAATTTACATTATTATTATCTGGGGTACCCTGTGTGGTGTAGTGGATATGTGAAATGCGTGAAACAATCAGCAGTGCCTGTTCCACCGTTTCATATTAAAAGAATAAATTTACATTATTATTCTCTGGGGTACCCTGTGTGGTGTAGTGGATAGAGTGGAGGACTAGGACTCTGGAGACAAGGGTATGAAGCCCCACCTAGCTACAGAAGTTCACTGGGGGTACAGAACTGGTAAAACCATTCCTTAAACATCCCATCTCTCTTGAAATCCCTATTAGGGTCGCTATACGTTGATTCTGACTTGACAGCACATAGTTAACTATTATCTGGGGTACTTAACGTGATGTTGTGGATAGAGTGGTGGATTAGGGCTCTGGAGACAAGGGTTTGAGTTCCTGTTTGTTCATGGAAATTCAGTGGAGGGTGGAACTGGTAAAACCACTCCTTCGATATCTCATTTATCCTGAAAGCCCAATTAGGGTTACTATACATCAGTTCCAACTTGATGGCACATAGCTAATCTGAAATGCTTTCCTGAAATTTACTCGTTAAAGTAAATGTTCCAGAAAAGTATATGAAAATCAGAAACGTTCTGAAAGCCCAAACTTACCGTTTCCAGTTCTTTGTGAGCTTCAAGTGCAGTGATTTCACGTTCAGACTTTTCCTCCACTTTCTTCAGGATATTCTAAACAAAAGACAGATATAGTGTTATTAACACCTACTACTACACCTACTTCATGTTGGATAAAGTTTTTCAGCAATCCCAGACCTTTCAAATGGCTAGAATTTAAATAGGACTAATTACCCATCACCTTTTAAAAACTGGCTCGAACTCCAGTTCACACTGATAGCTATTAAAAACAAGAGTGCTTTAATCCACTTTACTGTCTGTCTTCATGAAATGGTAAGCTGATAGCACTGTCGAACAGGTTATATTTGAGTGCATAGGGAAGAACAAGAGAGGGTCAGCATTACGTTTTCTTTGCTTACATTACAAGCTGTCTAGTGGCCTAATTTTTCCACAGAAACATTCCTCCTCAAGGGCTTTTCTTCCCTGCAGAAGGCCTTCCATTTCAAATAAATCAAACTGGGACATGGAAAGGCAGCATTCAAGAAAGGTTTGTCAGAAGAGTAATGCTGTCGTACCTGCACCAGTAGTTTCAGCCTAGTGATCCTTTGGAAAGGCAAAATCAGGAATGAGGAGAAAGGCAGACCTTTGCATTTTGGATCCAGTTCCAACTGTGAGATCACCTCCCGGAAAGCTGGCTTGTCCTGCCTGACAACAGACAGATGGAGAGTGGTGTTGGTTATTTCCTTATGTTTATAACTGGTGTGAATAACTGACACACTTGCTCATATGTGGGGTTTTTATTCCAAGGTACTACTTCCTTCAAAACTGGTATTTGGCTCTCTTCTCTCTTTGAGAATCATGGGGAAAACATATTAGTGAATTTTGGTTCAAAGTTTGGTCTATTTATAGTGTCAGAGAATAAAAAAAAATAGTCTTTTATTGTGCAAGCCGAGTAATGGTTTCACATGTGTAGCACATACGGACTTAGTAGCATATGCTGTGTGTGTGGGTGGGTGTGAATGGGGTGTGTGTCCAAGTAGATGAGTCAGAGGCATAATTACACATCTTTACACAGTTGGATTACTGTGGTAAGGTGAAAATCATATAGTCATACGAACAAGACCTTCCATGAAGTGATTTAACCAAGCCAGACCTGGCTGGAAATGAAAGTATGAAAAACTCATCAGGCATAGAGGAGGGGAGCAGTTCAGAGTCCTGGAGAGCTTCCGGTACTACTAGAGGTCTGATATTGCTTGTCTGAATCAGTGTTAAGGAGAAGCAGTGCACCAGCTCTGATTCTGTGGCAAAGAAATGCATGTAATTGGATTCCTCATAGTAAAAACAATGGCACAAATATGAGGAAATGTCCCATTTGTAACTAGTGTAAAACATGTGAAAACTTCTGAATAAAAATATTAACAAATTATGTGAAGCAACAAATTGTTTTCATGTACCAGTATGAGAATTCAACCCACAGTACAATCAGGCTGTAGCTGCATATCTCATATATTAATTGGCATGAATAAAAAATATCACTCACCTACAGGCAATTATTAGAAGAGACATGGGCAACTCTAGATAATTTCATGACATGCCTGAATGGTTTTACAAAGTAATCACACTTACAGGAGTTGCTTATAAGCTCTTTCCTGGTAGGTCTGGTTGGAGACATAAGTTACATACACCGAGAAATGATTAATAGTATGTTGATAGACAATGTCGCAGACATCTGAGATTACAATGTTCTCTTCCACCCGCTTCTCAAGATCCAAGAGGAAGCTAAACAAGAAACCCAAAATAATTGATATAAGAACCCAAAACAAACATAGACAACAAACACAAATCATTAAAAAGGGGACTGATTTAGTTTCAGTTTTTCACTTTCTTTTGGTGGGGAGGAAGGGGTGTAAAATACAGGTTCTAAAACACATCCATTTTTGTATGGTTGCTGAAGGTAATCTAACTCTTTTTTCTTTGCTTTATACTATCTGAACCATAAGAAGAATTTTGTTCAAAAAGCATTAACAGTTTCAGAAAGCTCAGGAAATATATACCACAGAGAATCTAATCCAATAAATGACTATTGATTTGGAGATAAAGATAGCTATCTTCTGGTTGACTATATTCTTAGAGTGTACATTAGTTGTTAAATTGTACATCAGTAAGAAAAATTTGACCTTGAACGCAGTTCCCCAAGTGAAGCATGCTACCCTCTGGAGTACTGGGATAAGGACAAGAGCCTGTAGAAAAGAAAACAGCAGTTCTGCTTTTCAGAGATGGTCAGTTTTCAGTCCATCAGCCTTTTTGTTTTTTATGATCCCTCCCCATGAAGAAGGATACATCTGACTTCTCCTTCTAATGTACACAGGTGGCTAAAATGTCTGGTTTTCAGAAAAAGATAGCTTTTTAGGATCCTGTCATATTTAAAGTTAATAAAGGGATATGCATGCAGATAAATGCATGTAAATGACTGTGGTGACCATATACTAACTTCAAACAAAAATCTGATGAATCTAGGCAATAAAAGCAAAAATGAATGAATGAATAACTTTAAAATCAAACTTCTAAAGAATCTATGACTTGTTCCTGTCCAAGTGTATTTTGAATCAATATTGATCTAACATTTAGGATAATAGCAAAAGAAAATCTGTACTGATTTAGACCAAAGGCTATTTAGCCTAGTATCCTATGCCCACAAAAAGCCAACAAGCAAGTTGTGAGTACCATACCATCCTTCCACCTATGTTCCTCAGCAAATGGTATTTAGAGCAATGTAGGTTGGTTGCCACTCCTGTGGCAATGAACATGATGGTTTACCTGTGCACTGTACAAAGGAATATCTCCTTTTACCTGTTATGGATCTCCCATCACCAATATACAGTGAAAACAGATTACTGTAATTATGCCACCTTTAAAAAGGAACATTTTTGTTACAAAACTTGCTCCACAATAATGATGATAGAAATCTGAAAATACCCATGGGGCCACTTGTGCTATGCGAAGAATGACCAGTTCTATCACTGCACTCCCTCTTTCCTCTTTTATATCTCCATTCATTCACTGCAGCACAAAATTATTGCACAGCTAGATAGTATTATTTTCCGAAACCAGTGGACAGAAGGTAATACATCACAGTTGAGGTCTGGGCCTGTCCTTTTTAAGCCTCTTCCCTTGTCCTACACTTCTCTGCCCCTTGTTTTGTTCTCCTGATGGTAGATTTTAGACAGCAGAACACTTCTGCCTTCCAATTAGCCTCGTGGCACATCTTTGATATTTTCAAGAATAGCTAGCAAAAGACGGTTGTCACAGCAGAAATGTGTTTCTTAAGCCTAACCTAACCCTCCCCCAAACAGTTGACACACTTCTCAATTAGGATTGAACTGCAAGCCTACAGGAACAAGTAGAAAAGAGGGATGTGGTTACATGATTTGTATGGTTAGGCAATGGCCAGCCAAGATCCCAGCATACCAAGCTACCACCTATGTAATCCCACAGATTTCCATCTAGTACAACCATATTGTCACAACTGGATATAAACCTCATTTCTACTTGATTTGGAAGCACTTTTGTATGCCATTGTTATTGATACAAAATAATTTATGTTGATCCCTATAAATGGGATTTAGCAATCTTGCTTTTTTTGGTGCTGTAACTGCAGGCACAAGTCTTTCATCCCTCTATAATGGGGTGGGCAACTTGGTTGCAAGGACTACCCAGGGGCTGCACAAATAGTGAAAAAATGCAAGAAAGAAATAAAATGTTTAGAAAACTACTTTCAGGTTTGCAAAATGGAAATTTGAGGATTTAAAATGGGTATTTTTGGATGGAGGGATCCTATGACCTTTTTTTAAATATGAAATGCCACACCTGAAGGAAGACTTCCAGGAGCTGCTGTGCTCCTTTTATTCCAGGGATAAGACCACAGAAGGGCTAGGACCCACAAAAATAGCATTGAAGGGTTACATGCCCAGGACCCCATTGTGCACACCACTGCTCCATGATACTAAAGGATAAACATTAATCAAAAATGATGATCTAAGGAAGTGAAAAACAAGTACAACCATTTTGAGGGACAGCAAACAAAAGAAAAGAAATAAAAGAAAATGTAAATAATTCCTGATCTCAGCTACATTGTCATTGTAATAGTTATTAAGAGATTTACCGCTCACTAACTGTCATTACATCCATAACATTGGAGAAGAGGATGTGAGCCTCTGAAGGATGCAAGATCTTTTTCAATCGCTCATTTTCCATGAAATGATATATCAGCAAATTCAGGCTCTTGTAGTATGAAGCTTCTGAAGTGACCAGTTCAAACATGGCCTGCAGGAAAATTCCAAAACTGTATGTGAATTATTTGCACAAGAATCAAGTCACTCAGGCTCCATTTTCATGACAGTGTGAATATTCACAAAATTGCATTGACGACTAAGTTCAACAAGCATGGTCTGAAATAATGAAAAGGACAATACATGCAACCACTAACACAACCATAGAATAACTGAAAAAAAATTAGAGTTTTCTTGAATAATTAATGTAAAGTGAATGCAAAATGCTGATTTTAGAGACTGTTATTCAGAGTATCTTTATTTGCAACTGATTCAGGTGCCCCACTGATCTCTGTAGGTCCTGAGCTGGTGCTGATAGTCTCATGTAGAACTGGTAATAATCAATGCACATTATTGCAACAACAACAACAACAACAAACGTTGAACTGCAGAGCTGAAAGGGACCCTATGGATCATCAAGTTCTTAAGGAGGCTCTGCAGCTATAGACCTAAGCCAGTCTGTTAAGTGTTAAACAGCAACAATCTCAAAACACAATTCCTTGAGTGTTAAATCTTGCAAACATCCTCTGAATGCTATAGTTGTGGAATGTGACTTCCATTGCTTTGCAATTATCATAGCACTTTAAATAGATAATGCTGCTGTCTAAATTGCTGTGAATTATAGCACAGATAATGATAATTGCTGTTGGAAAGGAAACTAGAGTGAGAGCAATGTTCTAGAAGTGAAAGAAAAGTCTCTATGGGGAATGTAGCACAATAAGCAGAGAGGATAAACATTCAGGCTTGAATGTTATTGCCAGTTTTTAATTACCAAGGATCCGCATAAAGTAGATTATTCCTTAACCGCCCAGTGTAGAAATACTAACATCTCTAAAGATCAGACAGAACAAGGCAACTACCTGGACCTGTTTAAAATTTTAAAATGGTTTTTTAATTTACATTGTGATTGAAATCATGATTTAAATCAATTTATTTTTAAAATCATTGATTTTTATCTACCCTGATGTGGATCTTTATGGGAAGCAGAGCATATTCCTTTTGTCAGAGCAAGTGGGTGACTGATCTCTCAGCAGAAATCAGTGGAACACAGTTGACAGGCTGGGCCACAATATGAAGCTCCACATTTCTTTAAAGCACTGGTTCTTAACCTTGGGTTACTCAGGGGTTTTGGACTGCAACTCCCAGAAGCCTTCACCACCAGCTGTCCTGACTGGGGTTTCTGGGAGTTGCAGTTCAAAAGTATCCGAGTAACAAAGGTTAAGAACCACTGCTTTAAAGCACCCTCTTCATGCCAGGTGATCTTCACAGGAGGCTGCTCTCTGAGTATTCTTATACACTGTATGGCAACTAGGGAAACAGTCTTCTCTAGAGAGGTGCCCTGATTTTACCAGTATTAGAGGTACTACTAGAGCTTGGACGTTTTAACCCTTTTGGATTACAACTCCTGGAATCCCCAGTCAGCAAGAATTTATGGCTATAATGGCTACGGAATTCTGGGAATTGTAGTTTAAAAATTGTAACATTTCCAAGCTCTTGGCTACCACCAGCACTCATTTTAGTCTTGCAATCATCTCAAAATCTTTAAGATTTTCACAGGCAAGCAGTGATATGATTATGCTGGTATTTTCCATTGTTTTAGCTGCTCCTCAACTACTGTACTTGAAATTGAGGGTTTTGTTCACTGTTCTATTCCATTTTTTAAATAAATTCTTTGGTTCATATTCATTGTCTCTGCAAAAATGAAGAGCAGTTCAGAAATGATAAATGTGCCTTTAGAATATACCCAAATATGGATATTGTCTGTTTGCACTGAATTATTTTCTTCAGGATACCCATCCTAACATATACTTACATCCACATTCCACTGCAGCTAATTGCAGCATGTAATGGTACACTATCAGAGTTGAACTACCATGGACCACCAGTACAGCATGGTAGGATGTAGAAATATTGGATTAGTTTCCCTGGCAAGAAGGATGCATTCCTCTTTCCTAACCAATAATAGAAGAGATGAATGCAAAACTTGGTTAACCCTCAGTGATACTCCTGTACAGCTAAATATTAATAACTACATGGTGCAGCTCAGTGGCTGCAATAAAAATGCTCTGAAAGAAGACAGAAATACTAACAAAGAACTGTGGTCGACCTTTTTTCAGAGGGCTTTTCAAAAGACATTAGAAATGTTTCTTTATCAAATGTTTCAAAAATAAAACAAAGAAAAATAAAACAATACCTCATAAAACGCTACAAACAACATTTTAAGAATGTTTTCCACTATAATGTATCTATCTCTCATTGTTTTATCTTCCTAAAATATCAACAGTTTCTGGTTAAATGTTACTCAGGATTCTGGAATAACTGTGCTTGTCCAGAAAAGCAAAAGTATTCCAACTCCAACTGCAACATCTAAGACCCAGTTCTAATGTATCATCTTCTGCAGTAGAGTACTGTATCTCTGAACAAAAATGCTAAATTATTAAATAAAACGATGGCTTTCCAGAAGCAGCCAGTCTTGCCTTCAGACATGCTTAATGCTAAGAAAATGTCAGTATCTGCCCAGTATTATTCTAGTCAGAAACTATTTTTATGGTGTGCAGTAATAAAAACTCATGAATGTGTGTAATTGCTAGGTAGTTCTTTCAAGTTTCCTCAGATACAGTCACATTCTCAGTCATTTCCTTCATGTCAGTAGTGTCACCTCTGGCTTGTTCTTCTATTTTCCACATCATTAAATTATCTTCTATATAGCTCTGAAATGCCCTTGGTGATTCATGTTTTTCTGTGCTTGATGCTCAGCAGATGTCTAGGTAATTAAAACTACCTATCAGGGACATTGTGGGTTTGTTTTTTAAAGACATTATGTCACTACTCTCCTCTTGGCTATTATACCCTCAGACAATCGAAAATAATCCTGTCCATCATAATGTGTAGTTATTATAATTTTAGATTATTTGAATTTCAAACTGTTTATTGGAAACATAAAGCTAGAGCTCATTCCTTTCCACTGTCTTACTTAACCTATTCAAGCATAATTCGAAAACAAATATACGACCATCCAAAATTAGTTTTAAAAATATAATTCATGCAAACCTTTGCTTTTGTCTTTTAAAAACATGTATTGCTATTCGTTCAACCTTATTCTGAACCTGTTCACGGTTTCTACCAATTTGGAGATGGACAGATGCATAGCTTTTTCAACATAACATAGTTTTCTGAGCAATTACATGTTCTGTCACTTGAAGACACAACACCCAAGCCATTAGTTTTAACTTTGTTTGCCTCTTCCAGTGTTGCTACAGGGTGGTACATGGATCTTTGTCAGACAGGCTGATTCCATTTCCTTTTATAGTTGTTAATGTTGAAATGCAAACAAATGCACCTGCCCTATTTGCCATCATGGACAACATTGCCCTTTTCACCTTACTTTAGGGCTCCAGAGGAGAGCACAAAGCTCCCTCTACAGGATTCTAATCATTACTGCAGCAGACTTAGAGTAAATGCTCACTGTGTTTCCAATTTAATCCTGAACAATGTGAGCAGATATTGGAACTTCGCTATAAATTTCAGTCCTCTCTTCTCCTCCTTCTTGAAACTGTACTCTTGGACACTTAACTTTGTCACAAGTGCATATTTTAAAAGCTGCCCTTAAAAATAACATTCATTCTCTATGGAAAGTTCTCACACATCCTCTAGATCAGGGGTCCTCAACCTTGTGCCTCCAGATGTTCGTGGACTACAGTTCCCAGAAGCCTTCACAACCACCTCTGCTGGCCAGGATTTCTGGGAGTTCAAGTCCAAGAACATCTGGAGGCCCAAGGTTGGGGACCACTGCTCTAGATCAGCCATTCTCAGCTTTTTTTACCACAACCATAAAAACAATATGAAAGAAATAAAGGCGGAATCAGGACTGTATGTTGCAAAATTAACCTTATAAGGTGTTGTGTGAAAAATTGTTGCCCCCCCCTTCAAATGTGCCAGGGTGCTCCAGGCTCCCTATGTCCCTCGTTGAAAATGGCTGCTCTAGAGCAATCCTTAAACACTGTGCATTATGAGTCCCCATTCTAGTTTGTCTATTTTCTGTGACATGATATTTATGTTATAGATACCTGAACGGTCCCATGGACATAAAAAGTTATTTCTTGACTGAGAAATTATTATAGCTGATAAAATTCATAATGCACATGGTATAATACACCATGTACAACAAGATGATAATCCAGAAAATAGCACACATGTGGTGATTTCTACTCTTCATTTTAAATATCTTTGAATTTTTTCTATTTCATAATATCAAATTGTAACATAATAGCAAAAAACAAGCCTTTTGTATAATTAGAGTAACCCGAATCCTACTACAGTAGTTAGTTACAACAGCATAAATTCAGAGATGTACACTGCAGCAATGAATTAACAAATTGCCGCATGTATCTCTTGTCACATGCCAGTTGTGTGACATAGCGCACAACAAGGAATACAAATAACAACTAGTGACAATCAGTGCAATGTACACAATCACACTTATGGCACCATAACTAACAAGTAGGATTTTAGCCATTACATCTTAATTTAATTTATTTATCTAACGTAAATGAATTCAGCTTTCTTTCTTTTTGTGTTCACCATACATTAATTCTGAATTGCTATATTTTCTTAAAACATAATTTGAAAACAAAATTTCTATTTTAGCACAAGTGCAAACTATAAAAAGCAGAGGCACAAGACTGTTAAATTAAGTCATATTTCACTTCAATTTGTCCTAGATATAATCTGCAAGCAAAGAGAAAAATATTCATTGTACTTAATTCCTTAATATCTGGCTTTCAAAGCTTCCATATTTTAAACTTAAAACAGCTGTAGACCAAGCAATTATTTGTAATTCTAGGAAATACCAGGAAATTACACTAATAGCAGTTGCACAAAGTTAAAATAACCTTCCCTGAGAGCCAGTGTTGGAATTGGTGGCCTCTTATTACCCCTTCACCCTTTATCTATATTTAGATTATAAACTCAGCCCAACCATTAGGTCCTTATGGCAGATACAGAGTTGATTTGCAGTCTATAGCTGAAATTCTAAACTATACACACTCTCCTGAGAGCAATTTCCATTGAACTCAGTAAGAGTGTGTTCTGAACAGATATGCACAGAATTGCACTATCAGACAGACATCATCCATAGGGACAGTTGGAATGCACTGATTTTGTGTCATTTGAAAGCATGGGCATTAGCAAGAACTCCTCTAAGTGAACAGAAGCAGACTACATCACATAACACATGTAAATAGATAGATTACGGTAGTACTATGATATCTCATAGCTGACCACAGCACTGTCACTGGGGATCGGGGAGAGAAGTTTCCCTTCAAGTTATTTTTGCAGTCAAAGTCCCCCACCCACAAAAGCTCACTCAGTCCCCTCCTGTGTGTGGGAAAGCAACCTGTAATTCCCTTCTCTGAGTGCTGCCACAATCATGATGATGTGTCATCATGTCAATTATGATTTATTGGTGACCCTTTTTAGAGTTCTATGAGAATACTCAGAAATGGTTAACCATTCCCTTCTGAGGGTGTCCCAGGACTGTGCAGCTTGCCCAAGGCCACACAGGCTGTCTCTGCTCACAGGAAACACAATGGGGAATCAAATCCCCAACCTCTCGCTCCACAATCAGACAACAAACTCCCTGAGCTATCCAGCCAGCTCAGTCCCTTATCCCTTAACACACAGAGAGACAGAATAATTGTACTGACTTATAAAGTGGAAGTGTCTTACACTTTCCTACTCCCCCAGGTAAAATGTGCATAACAGCACCTGAGTACTTGGGATGGGTGGCATAACCAGTGTCATTTCAGCCATAACCCTTCATCTGTCAATATGGATATAATAATAATACGAGAGTATATCAACATTGGCAATAACAAAGCAATTGTTTCTATTCCTTTTGTGAAGTAACTAGATGGGGCACATGAAATAAGATCTGAGATAGAATTATGATGAACTCCTGTCTTTCTGAGTTTATGTAGACAACATCTGTCTGATGACAGCAACAGTCAAATCCTGGATTTCTAAAGTGCTCTGTGGGACACCAATGCCATGGGACAGTTATGATTTCATTCACTGGTTAGAAGTACTAAATGGATGGGGCATGTTGATAACACTGCAAATGGTAGAACAATATTTGACATTTTGACTTCTACCTCAGCTTCTATAAGGGCTAAATACATGTGGGTTTGATTTTGTTTTAGTGAAAGCTTGGAATCCAGGGGCTCCTCCTCTGTCCTTGTTGACCCCCACATGTAGAAATATGAAGTGAGGAGAGGGGCAAACTAGTTGGCATTCTTAGAATATTTCAGAGTTTCCCTTGAAGTCCCACTCTGTCACTCTATCCACCAAATCACATGGAGTCCCCAGCTTGTACATACCTAATTAAAATATGGGAAATCTTAATGATTGTAAAACAAATACTCCTTGTTTTATACTAATCACTATTAACCACAGTGTGGGGTTCAGTTAAAATGCTATATGGTGATTAATCTTAGCCAGATGCTTCTAATTGCTGCAGAAGATCTCTGCTACATGACCAAGACAAACCAGGGTGAGTAAAAAGCAAGGCATAATGTTTGCATGTTAAAATGTAGCTTAGACTTCACTGTTATATTCAATTGCATCATATGCATTCTTTACACCACAATGGCCCCTTCACTAAGGCACGAAGATGTCTGGGTGGGGCTTCTTTACCCACCCAACCGGAGGAAACAAATGCAGGGAGTTTTGTCACATCGGACGAGCAGGCAGGGCAGAAGAGAGCCTTTAAAAGTCTGGCTCTTGCCTGTTGCATCATTCCCCCTGCGTTCCTCAGTGACCCACTCGCCCATGCAGTAATAAGATCGAGATTAGCTGGTTGCTTTGGGGCCAGATGGGATTTTTGACCTGCACTGAATTGGCGGAAAGGTGCAGGCAGATGAGTTTTCTCCCATTTCATTCTTACTGCCAGGGGTGTGTTAGGGCTTATAGGTTAGGTAACCACGCTAAACAGTCACGACTGTCGGTAGTGCAAAAAGGATGGCTTCAGGTGAGTTATGGGGGGGCACCCAGGGGGTGCCAGGCACCCTTCCCCTCAGAATAACATTAATAGAGGTATAGAGGAGGGGAGGGGAAGCAGGGGATCTTAAGGGACACTTGGCACTTAGGGTCTCAAGGCTTGGGTGGTGGGCAGCTTCAGGGTACTCTTGGCACGGGGATCAAAAGCATGCTGTACAGTAGAATGGAACACTTTCAGAACAGGAACTCCCTGGGTAGAGGTCTAGAGCAGAATGGTGAGGACAGCTTCAATTCCAGACCTGTTTGCACTATGGTAGGGCCCCTTGTGAAAGGGGAAGCTTGAGTTTGAAGCGTTAATAAAGTTGTGACCCTAGTTTAAACTTATTGTGCTGTGCCTCATCTCATTATTGCGGGCAAAACAAAACACACCAATAGCCTATATTCTTTGCCCAGATAATCCAAAGTGCACCAATTTTCTTACTACTTTTAGCAACTTTAGGGGCTAGAAATGTACTTTAAAGTTATCATGAAAACAGAAATTTTCATGGTATTGAACTTTAAATGCAAAACTAATTCATGATTTGTTCCAATCAATCATTTTTTGCAAAAATGCATCATTTTGCTCCTGTGTTTGATTCTGTGTAAGAACATAAAAAGGCTATGCCATGGGAAATAGCGATCTATCTTGAGTAGGACAAGAAATCGTCTGGGATGCATACCTTATACAGCTCTTAAATATCCATTTATAGTGACAGGTGACAAAAACTTTAAGCAGTATTCCAAAAGCACTCACTTTTTAGTAGACTGTTTCAAAGACATTCAAACAGGTTCCCTTCATATTTTTTCCTCTCCCTCAGGAAGGCATTCTCCTGACAACTTTATTTTTAATTTGCTGTGACTCTCTTTTGTGCATGCTCTATTTTTATTCTTTACTTGCTGAGACACCATCATGTATGCTCTATATTTTATGTTTCTACTGTTTTTCAATTACATTGTAAGCCAAAATGGGATGGGATAGGAATCATTGGATTAATAAGTAAAATAAAGGAATTTGAAAATCCACAACGCTTTCCACTAATATGCTGGGAATAAATCTGATGTCACTAATATGTTGACTTATCAGAGGTTTTTCTGCAAAAATAGTGTGATAATCTGATCATGACTTCCAATCTTTAAGGAATCATTAAGGAATGAAGCATTTTTTTATTGAAAAGTTGCACATTTTAGTTAAAAGTTCAACAGTTCATCATCTGAATTTATGAAGGACTCTGGGATGACCACCGTCCATTCCCATTGATTCGTTATTGCTCAGTTTGTAATTTTACAAATGTGCCATTTCTGTTTGGCATGATGACCTTCAGGCACACTAACAGAAAGCAAAGTATCTTCCACTATGAGAGCCACAGCATGAAAAAGTTACTTTTTATGCTACAGTACATGTTGGTTGGAGGTTCTTGGGGCTGTAGCCCTAGACAACTTTTTCAAACTCTGCTAAGAATTGACACAATTCATACATATTCTCTGTGATTTTGTCTTGTCTGAGTTCTCACAACTTTCTTGCTTCTGATGTACTTAATTCTTGCCTCCCCTCCCCCATATTTGCATCTGTAATAAATTTAGCCCTGTCTTCCACTGATGTTACTATATTAGTTCAACTACGACACGATTCTCTTTTAATCGCTAGAGACTGAGATTACAGGCCAAACTGAATGATATAGAATGGCCCGTGACTTTTTAGGGGGAAAAAAGGATTTAGTTGGACTCCTTACAACTATCTCTTTACAAATGGCAGTAGACATTTTTTTTTAAAAAAAACTGTCATTTTATATTACAGGAATCAACCTACACACAATTTCATTAGAATGCCAAGAGTGGAAAACCCATCTTCCCTGAAGTTGCTATTACCTCTTGAAGTCTGATCTCATCTGGCTGGAGAATATTCAGAACACCACTGCTTCTGACTTCTGGAAGATCTTGCCATAAATTGAACCTGGAAGTAGAATTCCTAAGCAAATTAATCTGGGGAACAGCCTTGCTCTCCGTGGCATCTGCGGTTTCACTTTCTGATGGTGTCTCTTCAGTAGTTGAACCCTCTTCAATATCTGTTTGTGAATCTTGCAGCCTTCTAGTTTCAATCTCTTGACGTGTAGATTTATCTCTATATTCTTGATACAGGAGACCTACAAAGCAGCAAAGTACATGGAACATTACTGCAAACAACAACATTTTTGTATGAGAAATGCACTAATTAATATGCACTAATAATAGACTTTGTACATCCGGGCTTCAGCTTAGAAAATAAGGAGCTGGAATCTAAGACAATTTTAGAGTGGTGAAACTCCCGTGTAAGGTGATGGCTCGAAGATTACAGTTTTGATCTATATTGTAAAAAGCAAACAAAGACAACTGCAGAACATAATTATTGGGGAAAATGAAACAGAAGCCAGAAATGATACAGTAACTACTTCTCTATTCAATTTGGAAGGGAATTCCTTTTCCAAGCTCAAAAATCATAATAAATCAGATTGCACAGGAGCAAACACCAAACACTCAGTCCTTCTAGAAAGGAAGAAATTATTTATCCCAAAGAAACTTTTCTTTCAAATTCTACATAAAGTTTTCTCTTTTACTGTCCTTGATGCTGGAAGGAACTGAAAAAGGGGCAAGATCATGCATTTAATTATAGTGTAACTTCCTGTCTTATTCTCAAGGCAACATTGCAAAAACATTACATCTTTAATAACCTTTGGGAAAACATTGTACAGTAGAAGCATTGAACAACGTATTCATTAAAACCTTACTGTGCTGCCACAGGCCAGAGCACCCTTTTCCACTCCTTCCTTTTAATTAAAGGATTCTCTTTCCCATAAATTATTATATTGGCCAGTTTGATGTAATATCTGAATGGGGCAGATATGGATGGAACTATGGGGCAATACACTTAGAACGTTTTTAGAAGTGCTCCATCAGATTGTGAAACATGCCTCTTTGCATTACCCTACAATTTTTCTTACCTACTTATCTTGTATTTTATTTGCATTGTTCTATGAATGATCATTGCAGCATAAACACAGGTTTAGTTTGCAAGTCAGATTGCTGGAAGATTTATGTAGGAAGGTCCATTGTGGGGAGGAAAACATGTAAATCACAGGAAATGCATGATTCTTTTTAGTATCCAGATTTACCTCATAGCTCTAATTCAGCTCTCTCAAAACCAGAAATTTCTTCAAAACCATGATCTGAAACCATGTTAGTACTGTACTGAACTATAGTTTGCTTCTTATTACAGAACTTCACTATATTATCATCATAATAGAGGCATTTATCATCAGGTTGTTGCAGCATGATTTAATCTAAAGACTTCATAAACATATTGATCAGGAAACTAATAAAACTGCAGAATTCATAGTGATATATGAGGTTATCCATAATTTTTTCTTCAAGAAACAAACTGTAATAATGTAAGAACATTCTTGCAAATGTTTATCAGATCCTGCAGAAATATCAGTAACATCTCATGAAAATATTGTTAAAGACCACTGAATGCAATTCAATTCAATAGTGTACTATTTTAAACTATTCTCTGGACAACCATAATTACATCCCAGGAACACCACAAAAATTCAGCACAAAAAAAAGAAAAAGGAAAAAAACAATTTTAATTCTTTATGAAAGAAACAAAAGTGAAATTTTGCATTCTGTATTACTAAAGACTTGTGATAATTCTGGAGCCAGGAGTATAAATCTTATTATAAATTAACAAAGACAACAGTTATGAGTTTTAAGAGTATCGGTTGCGAGCCATTCCACCTCAACTTTACAAGTTAAATTCAATTCAAATTATTTAGCCTTCAGTGTTAGTAAACATAATGCCAATAATGAGCATTAAAATGTATTTATTCCAATAAAGCTTTACATTTCATCTGAAGTTATAAAGTTGAAACTTATTAACTGCTTACCTCTGTGCCAAGCACTTAAAAAATATTATAAACAACCATATTTAATTCATCATCTTAAACATACATACAATTTGTAATGAGAAAGAGCCAAAGGGTATGTTTTTTACCATATTGTGAGTATATTCAATATTCACTACTTTCTGGAACAGTATTCAAATTGAGATTAAAATAGCAATAGGAGGAACTGTACTTTGGAAACCATGCATTTTCCTGTTAGCTTCCCACACTTGACTAAAAAGGAAAGATTGCTCTTAAATATGTTGTGCTGTTTTAGGTTCAATAATACTTGCATAAGTCTATCTGAACTACTTTGTGAAGTATTTTCAGTGACTGTTGAAATTTCTGTTAATAACTGAGTCCAAGCTCATCATTAAACAGGACAAAGAAAGGGAAAAGGGAACCTTTCTGTTGTTATAGATGGAATCAGATATATATCACTGAATGTGGCAAAGCCTTTTTGTGTGAAATCTAAATCTTTGTTAGCCTAGTGCACTTTCAAGGTCTATAGTCTTAATAAGTAATTAACTAAATAAGTAATTCTGTGGCAATGCTGAAGAAGCAAAGAATGATGAACAAGTACAGGGATGATTATATCCTAAAGATAATCTAGAATATTTTTTTGCCTCTTCATAGATAAAGCCCTTTGTTCAAATAATCCAGATATCACCAGTTTTTCACATGGCCCTTGGAGAAGAAAGCAAACATTTATCTCTTGTTCAACAACTTATCTGACATTAACACTAACAAACACATTACAGATGTGGAGAAATTGAAGGCATCTGAACATTACAGAACTGCAACAGATAATGATGGGGAAGAGAGTATGGGATTTACCATCTGGACTGGAGACTGATAAAAGACTATCAAAGAAGGACAGTTCAATTCTTTGTGTGCCTCCTGAAATGGCAATAATGTTTGAAGAACTGAGATTTTACAAGGAATCAGTAGCCCTAATTATAGCATCTACTTTAACTGGAGCCTTTAATATTTTAGAAATAATGCTCTTGGACAATTGTGCTAAAATGGCCCTTTTGTTCAAAAAGGAAAAAAAATTCTAATAATTCAGCTCTTAAACATCAGGCTTTTCTGTTTGTCTCCTTAGTTTTTCAGTTCACATTTCCTCCTGGTGTGTATTATTTTTTGTAATGATATATATTCATTATCTTCAGCCATAGAGGAAAAATGTATTTAGATTGTTTTACCCAGTTCTGTAAAAAACAGTAGATGTGCAAGTAGACAAATTATTTGGTCCAGTAGGATTGATAGACAAATCCTATGCATGCATGCATACATGCAAATGCCACTGAGAAAAGAGTTCACTACTAATCACACATTATACACAAACATATGCAGCTGAACTCACAATATATATATATTATTATTATTTAAGAAAAGCCACAGGAGTAGGGGAGGTTTTGGAAGAAAAAAAGGGGGTGGGGATAACCTTTTTTTCTGCAGGCTTTTCCCTGCTTCAAGCCAGCCCTCCCAAACTTGCTTTCTGCGCACCTGCAAATGGCAATGCTTCAAATGAATGACTTAAAAGTAGATAAATATTTGAAGGGGGAGTTGGTTCCACTTGGAAGCAAAAGTATTAAGTATCATTACAGCTGCTGTACTTTCAAACTGCTTTTTTCCCAACAAAATATGGCATCATGAGGCATCTGACATCTTGCACGCTAGAATGTAACTTGTAGTTCTCAAGAGCCTAAATGTTTCCCTTACCTATTTGCTCAATGAAGTTTTTCCAGGAGTCAGCAGTCATAGGGTGAATCATTTGCAAGGCTTCTGGGAAAGCAGTAGGGCAGTTGGGGTCCACAGGACTCTCATCAGGAATTGAAGCTGGTCCAGCCATAGACATAGAATCACTTTGAGAGAGAGAGAGAAAAGCAGGAGTATGAATATTTTTATTCTCCATCATTCCCTCTAGATAAGATCACTGCTGCCTAACAACAGTGGTTATATGAGCTGCAAGTGTTTAAAAGTAAAGGTAGGTAAATGAGGGTAGATTTACCCACTTTTACTTTTAATCATTTGCAATCCATATAACCCCTCTTTCAGGCACCCCTCACTTCCTTTCTGTGGGGCTCTGGATGCTGAACACCCTGTGCTCCTGGTGAAGAGATCAGTAAATCCAGTGAGGTGTGGAACATGAACGGAAACGTGTGGGAAGAATGATGGCATTTTAGCATCGCTCCTGGGAGACATGAGAAACAGGTGTGGGGGCATGAAGGAATCAGGCTGTGGGGAATAATAA